ATCTAGCTCTACACCTTGTTATCGAGGATATTTTGGTTGTTAGCTTTAACAGAACCAGATTCTTCACTTTATTTTCACACTGACTTCAATGGTGAAAAGCAAGGATTTCATCCTGAGTGTGAATGAAGAGCATAAATGAGCTTGTTTTTAAAAAGTCAGATGATGTTTGAAATTGCGTTGATAATTTTGATAATACTTAAGTTCTTTGTGCAACTTTTTAACTGAGCTTTCCAGAGTTAAAATAGCATCTGAATGCAGAACAAAAAAGTACTGTTTGAACCATTGTAGAATGTCGACAGATGTCAGTGCAGTATTTATTCTCACTGTTTGCCTCAGGAATTTGGAAACTAATTGAAGGGAAACATCCATGAAACATATTACAGAGCTGTGCTGCATAAATTACCCTCCCTCCCACACTTCTGAATATAGATTCCATCAGAGAAACAGAATCTCTGCTTCTGGCAGTGAACATTTATTTCTAGTTTTTTTTTTAAGTTAGCCACTTTCGGTTATACACAAACATAGAAAGGCTGATGTGAAGTTTTTTTTTAGCAGAGTGATCTTGTTACGATGGGTTCTTGATATGCAGTTATAGTACCTTTCAATGATTGCATTCCTACTGATGTTAGTGCAGTTCCTCCAAATTAATCGGCTTGTTAGCATTCACTCCTATAGAAAAATAATGAAGAAAAGATTTTTAAAATATCCATGTTGTTTTACCTTTAGGAAAGTAAAACAAGTGACAATGAAAGCTTTTGACATGTTTCCTCCATTTCCTGCAGTCCTTACCAGAAGCTGCTAGCTTTTGCTGGAATACTTGTCTCCATTTGATGCCAGTCCCCTGATATTATGTGCATGTAACGTCCTCTTAGTATTGTCAGTCCAACCACTGAAATTTAGACTATTTAACTGAAACAGCTGATTATGCCTGAAGTTCTGAAGAAGGGGTCACACTGGATTTGAAATGTTAACTCTATTTCTGTTTCCACTGATGCTGCCAGACCTGCTGAGCTTCTCCAGCATTTACTGTATTTGATTATGTCTGATATTGTCCAAGCAATGCATACAGTTGGGATTCTTGTTGGAAATATTAAAGTGAAACTCTGCAGGTTTTTTTTTCCTCCCATTTGCTAGTTCATAGTGCTCAGATCATTGCTGCCTGAAACCTTCTAAACCTGTTACAATCAAAGCAAAATGTGAACAATACCTGGAAGTTTCTTTTTTAATGAATTACTGCTAAACTTGATTGTGCCATCTCTCAATAAGCTGGCAGGAGGGCTGAGCCAATGTGCAGAATATTATGGGGCATGAACAATCTAGGCTATGCTGAAATTTGTGACAGAATAGCATGAGAAGTCTGGTGAGGATGGTCTCGATGTTCGGAGGAACTTGCTGTCTTTAATGGATCTTTGGGCATTGAGACGAGGCTCTTGCTAGGTAACAGTGAGTTGCCTATTAAGGTGAACTATTTTTTGTTAGTGACCTTATTAACTACACATCACGCTTTATTAATATGCAGCTTCCTATCTTGTAAAATGAGCCATACAGACTAGAGGCCAAGAATTCTTAACATGGAATTCGGACTGTGTACCTGGTAACTTCAGCTCACTGCTGGCTACGAACAGCCTCCATGTTACTCACCAAATAATACAATCCATTGGCACACACCCCTGTGCACAAACATTGGCCTCTGACATTTACCAACCTCTTAGAATGCTCATGGCCCTTCTCTGATCCACTTGCATGATGCTTAAAAAGACCAGATCTGTATTGCAGGGCACATCAGCAAATAGCATTGATGTGCTGCTGCAGGGATGGTTTATGTATATAGACAGGCACCCACGTCACAGATTGAACCAGGCTGTTATCTCAGAACCTCTTTATTTTTCACCCACATAGCACCCAGCATTAATGCTGAGTCACGCCTTTTAGCACATTGTTGCTTCAGCCAGAGCCTATTAGTACTGCCATATTGACGTGCTCTTTTGTAAAGTCACACAGGCACAGACTGCTTGTTGTGCTTGTTAGTAGGCATCTCTTTGGGGGTCGGGAACATCTTGCTGTATGGCTCACTCAGACGTGGGTCTGAAAATTACAGCACATGTCAGCTGTCTACACACAAATCCAATTTATTCAACCAAATGATGGGGTCGGAAAGTGGGTGGGGCTAGTTTCCATTCCAGTCGGCAAGAGTCACTGTCTGTCAGGGGGTCCCAATCACGGAAGACAGTCTGCACGCAATCCATGGTCATTGACCATGGTCATTAAATTACTCAGACCACTTATGGTCAGGACATCTGTCTGACTACAATCCAGGAAGCAAACAACGGTCAGTTCTATAGGTCTGGCACCAGCAGTCAGGCAAATCGAGACTGATCAGTTAGGGCCCTGCAACGACGGTGGTCAAGGGTCTAGTCAGTCATTTTTCAGGGCTACTCAGTGAAGTCTGTCAGCAATTGGAGTGAATATGGTCCTGGGGTCCTTGCCTTGATTGTTCAGGAGGATGCAAGGGACAGCCTGTAGGGGGCAAAGGGAGGATGATCCTTCTTTGATGTAATGTGTTGGTCACTCAGCTGGCATGGCGCTTTCACCGAGTTGATGCACATGCTGTGACCAGGACCGTGGTGGGGCTGCTGACAATTCAGTTCCACTGCTTGCAGTGATCTGGGAGGGTTCATCCATTCCAGCCCAGATCGAGTGTGTGTCATCATCCAAGTGTGTGGTGCTGTGCGCAGTTTTTTTTTCTTAGTGCTGTGAAACCGAGAGGAAGGCATCAGCTTTCGGAGGAGGATGAGGACATTGGAGAGGAGGAAGCTCCCTTGGTGGATGATGGCACTCTGCTACATGGGGCACTGCGAGGTCCTGATTTACACTTGGTTCCAGTAAATGACAGCTGGATGCAGCAGACCATTAGGAATGCACAGTTATTGGGCGTATGGTAGCCTGAATGTGTTTTGTGTCTTCGTGCTTTTGCCAGTTATAAATAAAAGTTCATGTTGGTAGTTGTTCGATTTCTCACTTGTATGTCATGTCCCCCTTGTTGGACAATAGAGCTGCAGGTCTATAGTGACACTGGGAACAGTGCAGTGGTGACTGAGAGAGGGTATTTAGCTTTGATGTAGGTAAGAATACATTAACTGTGTGGCACAATGGTTAAACAGTGGGATTATGTGTACGAGGGAGTATTAGCCATGTCGGCTGTGTGCCGAGAGCTCTGTGGTTATGTGGCCACTGTGCCATTATGTTGTTGGGGATGGGCAATACCAGATTGCCAGTGCTTGTTCAGGTACACAGCGGCATTCTGAAGATGGCACGGGTGTCAGGATGCCAGTCTTTTGGCAGCTACTCAGTGAGTGAAGAGTCATTCAAGGAATTGCATTTGGCAGATACGGCTATAGTTGGAGAGGGATGCCAGTTGGGCAGGAGAGGTAACTAATGAGGCAAGTTTCATAAGCTACAGTGAAAGATCTCACTAAAGCCACACACCCTTACTCAAAACAATTGAGACTTAGTCAAAGAAACATAAAATTCGGCCCATTTATTCTAATACAGATGTGGAAATGTGTAATTTAGAATGGAAATTGTCTCTTAAGTGTAGTCTGATGTGCAGTGAAGTTTGTCAATTTACTCCCCTGGTGCCAATTGGAATTCTGTTTCCAGTGACAGCCAGGTGCACAATGGAATTTCATGTTCTATATGTGAAGTTTAACTAATAAAAAGCGTAATTACTTTGAAACTGTGCAGTGCACAGTAAATCTGTTAGCATCTGAAGAGGAAAGACAGGTTAATATTTTGAGTAGGGCTGCTTTGACAGAACAAAGGTTCTTTAATGAGCATTTTGATCTAAGTTTTCTTTATTAGATGCCTTTGTATCTGTTCCTTTTAAGGATTTTCTGTTTTTGTTTGAGATTTTGTATTTATTATCTCATTTGTGACAACTCTCTATATTCTGTTAGGCACAGAAGAGAAGGGCAGAGACAACTCCAGAAACATCTGGACGAAAAGATTGGAAGAAAATGAAGAATTAAGCCTCTTGCTCAAATGAAGACTGCATCTTGGTTAACTCTATAGTTTCATATTGCTGCCTTTGCTCAATTGTATATTCATTAGAAATATATTCAGTTGATGCAGTATAATACAATTTATGGAATAATGAATGCATTCACATTGAAGCTGGAAATTGAGATTTTCTTTACTACTCTGTTGTGGATGCCTAGTTATTTTTGTTTCAGTCTATTCCATTCCAGTATTTTATGTCAGTCATTCAGTTGTATGTACAGTGTTTGATTTGTATTTGAATGGTTTGCACCTTGCATGTGTTTTAATATGTTGGATGTTTTTAAAGTAAAACAGAGAATCTCTTTTATGTGAGTGGGAATTGAAACAGATGTGTATTTGAAGTATTCAAGGAGGTATTCATCAGGACCTCTGAGCCAGTTAACCAAAAGAGTCCTATTTTAAATAAAGCAACTTGTTTCTTGGATGTTTACCTTTTATTTCGTTTAACAATATCAACTGTAAATTAATGAAATATTATTGGAAAAATATAAATCTCAATGCTCAATAATGTTTCAGTGAATTTGTTTAACTTTAGGAAGATCACAGATTTTTACTAGTGAATTTTGGGTGCTTCAGAATTTCATTTGAGTTCCATATTTTTGTAAAGTTGCCCAGCCAGCAGCTCCATTCTGACCTGGCCAATTGTTGCAGTGGAAACAAGGTACAAGTTTATTGACATTCTATGCAGGCAGATATGGCAGCTGTCAGACGTTGGAGCTCTTGGGTTCACCTAGCCTCTTCTTCTCAATGCTATGGCATTTAAAACTGCTTGACCATCAGTTAATGTCATTATCAGCACTGCCATTGCTTCCTTTGAAAAACTGCCTCTGTCTTGGCTCTCTGAAAATCTGTGTTGATGTTGAGACCGAAAGAGTAGTAATACAGGCTACACAGATAACAGAAAATAGCAATGACCAAGTCATTTCCTCATCTCCAAGTTTCTGCGCCGCAATATTATTTTACCCTTGACTGTGAATGTATTTATCTTTGAAAACAATGCTTGAACTGGCTTGCACTTACTAATCCAATTACAGACCTAGTTGGTATGTCTGCAGGTTATACTTATCCAATTTCTCGATTGACTCCAATGACACAGTCTAGCAATAACAGTTGAGATCAGCATGCTATTAACCAGGGACAAGTGTAACAAAGTACATTTCATGTCTAATTATTCTGCTAGAGAGAAAGCATTAAAGGATTTTTTATTTTGCACTATATCTTCCAAATCAACTCATTACTCCAGTTAGAAACTGGTTGGTTTCAGTGCTCTAGATCAATAAGCAGTTAGGTAATTTCATTGTCCACATGAACTCAGCCTCTGATACTGTCCAAAGCATTCCTAGCAGCTCAAAAAAACAGTATCAGTTAGGGTTTGTCAGCTCTGATTGAAAGCATTCCTGGAGGTTTGATGGCTTGATACTCTGTTCCTATGACCTTAGCTGACTGAGGTTGGGTTTTGTGGAGTTGAATATCTTTGCTTGTGGCTATGCACTAATCAAATCAAAGTTTCTCCTCCCTCTGAATCACTCCCTTGGTTTCTCCTGCTATTTAACCTCTGCATCTCTTGTCTGCTTATAAGTAGTCTGGATTAGGGATGTGATGCAAAATAGTTTCTGACGGGAAACCTTATGCAAGCATATAAACTAATTGATTTAAAGACAGACAATCTGATGCTGCACCAAAATGGGTGCAAATTTCTAGTAAAGCCCTCATCCAAAATTCGCAGTCTTATACCTGGGTGAATATAATCATGAGGTTTAGTTTAATGTGTGTTTTCATTCATCCCTGTCCTGAGTGCTTTCTCCACTCCTAAATATGGGCAGTAAAGTCATGAATTTCTGATTGTAATTTTGATGATAACCAGTTTAAAATAAATTAATTATTGCCAGTATTACAGTTAGGCCTGATTTGGGAAATCCAGCCATGGCAGTAGGTGCTGTTCCCTTTCACCTTGCAAGATACATTGATCTCCAGCTACAAAGCTTAGGAAATGTGACAGATTCCTCTCTCCAGTTCATCAGTTCCGACACCAAGAGCAATACTAACATGCTTGCCAAAATTCCCCACGCAGACAAGGGACTCAATCTGAAACTTCTTCGTCAAACTGCCAATCCTTTTAAGGAAACCCCTTTGTCTCTTGTAAACATGATCGTCTAAATATCAAACGTTTCTGAAAGCTAATGTCAATAACAGCAGTTGTTGCATCTTTAATATGTTAGTTCTGTAGAACTGAAAAGTTCTTAGATGTTGCAAGTGTCGTGCAACAATTGGACAGAATGCTACTGTTTCCCAGTATCCTTTGTGTAAACACCAAATCTAAATGTAAATCTCTTCTTCAACTAAAAATGACAGTAGTAGCCAAAACTATAATGTAATACAGAGCATCTGATTATGTTTGCGATCCTCTGGATTTTCAATTAAA